GGGGGCGTAAAACGTTTATTTAGGATCGATGGCACTGTTGTGATGACTCTGTCTTTCGTCTCATGAAACTGAACGAAAGGCAGCTTGGGTTACAAATAAGTTTTATAAGTCTTCAATGTATGTTAGATGTGATTGTTTTATTTTTGTTTATGGAGGGGGGGGGGATGTCTCGGTTTTTTTGGTTTTTTGGTTTTGGTAATCGCCTTTGTTGATGATGTTATTATGTTTGTTGTTGTTGTCGTTGTCTCTGCTGCTGCTGTTGTTTCAAGGATATCGGTGTGTCAAGGTCAAGGCTTTGAAATTTACTCCAATAGTTTGACAACTGTAAACATGTTTTTAAAAACAAACGAGAAGTGCGTTTGTATTAACACAATTCAAAATGTTATAATATTATTAATTATCTTAATTAAAAATCGTAGATCATAAACGAATCGAGTTCAGCAGTTATTAGCGCTTTTATTTCGTCCTCAGATTGCAAGCTGTGTCAACAAACTCGTGTGCTTATGTAATTATTTATCTGTGTTTGGTTAAATAGTTGATCTTATTGACATTTGACATGTAATTGAAAATAATTGTGTGTGTGTGGTTGGCGGGTGCTCTGGTGTGATTTGCTCCTTCTTTCCTATCAAACGTCTATCGTCCTTAGCTCCCCTCCTTCTTTTATTTGTAAATAACTCTCTGATTACACCTCTTATCTTCGGCACTTATATGACCTAATTGTGTTGAAAGTGACGCAAAACTCTTTGTATAATAATTTATTTTTTTTAAATTATAATTTTGCCCAGCTTATCGTGCCCCTGCTAGCTAGTGGTATTTACTGTTTTTCTGCTTATTTTCGTCTTAGGGTGCAATTTCCCCGCCTTTGGTCGTTACGGTTGTCCTTGTGGATATGATAAATTAGCTGTCCGGACCTTATTAGAAGTAACACTTACATTGTAGAAAAGCAGGAGGTGAGCTGGGGAGGGGTGCGCGCTGTATAGCTGACAGTATGTTATGCTCTTTGCTACTATCCTTCTTTTGATTCGTGAGTGGCTGGTAGGTGTTCTAGTGTTGTTCGCTCCCTCTTTCCCGACAAGCCTCTTCTCGTTCTTCTTTTTTGTGTTTGTAACTCTCTAGTAACACCTCCGATTTTCGGCACTTGTATGACCTATAATTTGTGTTGTCAATTCCGTAAAACTTTTACTAAAACAACGATTTAATTCCGTCTGTCTATATATTACTGAGCACCCGTCCCCAATTGGTTCAGATGAGGGAAAGAAAGCCAAGTTAAGTGTTAAGTATCACTGCACCCCACTCCTCCCCCAAAGATACAATTCCCTACCTGGGTGGTCATAACAGACACTGCCGAAGCAGCCGACCTCCCATATCTTATTGGTGCCAATGATAAAGTTAAACAATACGGTCATTATTACCTCTTTATGGTATCATATGACTTTCATTGTTTTACAAATCATTATCGAAACACAAACAGCAGTTTGTCCCTTTCTGGGTTTTTTAAGCTCACCAACACCCTCTACCGACAAAGCCACACTTTGGGATCGATGAGAAAACTGATTTCTGTTTTGAGTTCAATCTATTAATAAAAGAATAATGTTCCAATGAAGGTGTGTGGGAATTTTCAAATTGTCTCTCTCTTATTGGTTAAACTTTTGAGGTTATTTCTTGAACAGGGGATGTTTGTGGGTGTTTGGCGGGTGACCTAATTTGGTAGCCTCCTGTTACTTGTTTGTTACCATTTAGTAACACTTCTGTTCTTCGGCACTTAAATGATAACCCCCC